AAAAAAAAAAAAAAAAAAAAAAAAAAAAAAAAAAAAAAAAAAACTTGAATTGATATTGTGGATGGGTTTGTTCCAATCATTCACATGGCATAAATCCAAATGTATAGCTTTCAAATCTCCTCCCTCAAAAAAGGACTTGAAATTAAAATGAAAATGAAAATGAAATGAAATGATTTCCTCTTTTATTTTGAACCCAAAATTAAAGCTGCATGCGACATAATTTGACTCATGTCAATCTTCTTTTTTTCACATCAATCATATGCATTATATAATTTCATCACCTTTTAAACCCTCTATATTCATTACTTATAAATATATATATATATATATATATATATATCAAGTCAAAGTGATTTCCGTTAAAGATGTCCATTTAACTTGCCGGACTGAAGCTTTATGCAGGATGAAAAATTCCCGTTTAAATTGGGAAATGAAGGAGGGAGTAGAGAGAATGACTTTGACTTGTTACATATCACCGTACATCATTATAAGAAATATTTCGTTCTCCTCTCCGACTGATGTGAGACCTAATACTTATGTGTAAAATCCTCGAAGAGGATAATGTGTACATAGAGTTACAGTTCGAGATTTTCGGTGGAGAACATTTATGTGAAGCCTAAGTAGCCACGTTGAATAATCTCTCACAACATTTTCTATAACATCATGCTAATTATGACCAAGACAAGTGAATTTACAAGTTTGACATTGTGAGTCAAATATTAACAGGAATGGTAAAATTAAAAATAAATTGGGAGAGGTAAAAATTGAAGAAAAATAATTATATAAAAAAATCCAAAAAGGGAGAGAGAAATAAAAGCTGCATCTACACCGCATGCGACATTATTTGAGACAACATTTAACTTAAAAAAACCCGACATTATTTGGCACACGTCTTTCTTTCCCTTTTTTTTCACATCAATCATAATTTTCATAATTTCTCGCATGCCTCTCTCTCTCTATCATTTTTCCTTTAACCCTAAATTTCATCAAATCTTCTGTATAAATAATAATAATAATAATAATATATATATAATTCTTTGGAGGATTAATTTAGTGGAAGGTCGTGATTTTATAAGTGAGGAATACTATCTCCATTGATATAATATGAGGCCTTTTGGGGAAGCACAAAGCAAACCCATAAGCGTTTATGCTCAAAATGAACAATATTATAAATGTTTTGTCTCCATTGTGGACCGTTGTGATTCCTTGTAGCTGAGCATCCTTACACTGCTTGGTGTCTGTCTCTATACTCATGCCTCCTGCTCAAAATGAACAATATCATACCATTGTGGAGAGTCGTGCTCATCTAACATGGACTTGTCTTGTCTCAAAGTCTTTCTAAGAGTTAAGACTACCCCCACAGACAAACATGAGTTATTTCAACATGTTCTGTCCTCATTCACATGTTTAATAGATTTTTTTTTTTAAGAGGTCACTCAACACAAGATTACGCTAAACAAAACCAATTAATAATTATCATTTTTTTAAAATATTTATTAACTATAAGAGATATCGGTTTATTTATGCATCTTATTTAATGAAAATTAATAGGTAGAATGAATTAAAATAATGGAAAACATATTCCATTATTTATTTTATCTTTTTAGTTAAATATTAATTCCACGATAATGATGGGCATATAGAATAGTAGTAGCATTATTATTTTTAATTAATTATGTATAAAATAAATTTTATTGTAACATTTGATGACGTGTATGATTTGACAACAAAATTGCTTGCTTGGAAGAAATAATTTTCAAAAGTTACAAATAACTTTAATATTAATAAATTTAAATTGATTTAATTGTGTATATTTACGTTAATTGAAATTTTCTCTCTCTATATAGCACATTTGAGGCCCATTAGGCCATCTTATAAGAAGCCCAATTTGACAGAGTTTTCAGGGCCCAACCCATAGGACTGAAGAGATAATTCAACTCAGCCCATTTAAGAACCTTGGGCCTAAAAAGGCATTACGTTCAAAGCCCAATCTAGAACGGCAAGAGAAACGACATGTCGTTTCAACGGTCAAACTTGTCGAATGCCACCAAAAGGCCACCAACCAAATTCAGAGCCCGCCTTCTTCAACCGCCCGCCACAAGGCTCACCAAACACAGAAGCAGAGAGAGAGAGCAGTGGGAAATTGTGGGGTAGGTAAGGAGTGGTGGGTTGGTACTGATTTATTTTTCTATATCTTAACAAATTGCTCACAGAATTGCTTCATTTCAAATCCCAATCTTCACCTTCTTGTCAACCCTTCCTCCTCTTCTTCCATGGCCGCCTCTCTCTCGTCTAAAACATTTCTTGGTTCTTCCAGAACCGATGGCTTCTCTGGATTCGGCTCTCGTTCTTCAGATCTCTCGAAGCTCTCCTTTTCGGCTGTTAAAATCTCAGTCGGGACGCGAAATGCGAAGAAGCTCCGTAAGTTTGCTTTATCTTTTTCTGTTTTTCTTCAGTATGTTGAATGTTTGGATGGATAGGGGGATTTTGTTTGCTAATTGATTGTAGTTGTTACTGTATAGAGAAGAAAACTGTCGGAAATTGTTGAATGAACGATTTGATTGCTTGATTTAGGTTTAACCGAGTTGCTTTTGTTCATCTGGTTATACTTATATCTCGGGCTTGAATTAAGCTCATCTGGGAGCTGTGTTGAAGTTATTTTTTTGGTGCATATGATATATAATAGTTTTTAAGAATGTTATGATCGGGGTAGTTGAAGAGATTTGAATTGGGGGGATTTTGGAAATGTGGTTTTGTAACTTCAGGAAATGACTTGCAGCCTGGAATTCTTACATTTTGTTGGGTTAATCACAGAGATAAAGGCTGCTGGAAGTACATTTGGAAATTACTTTCGTGTTACAACCTATGGAGAATCTCATGGAGGAGGAGTTGGGTGTGTGATTGATGGATGTCCTCCACGCTTGCCGATTTCGGAAGCTGATTTGCAAGTGGAACTTGACAGAAGGTATTTGCGAGGAACCTCGTGATATTTTTGTCTCGAACATTCGTCAATGGATGCAATGAATTCATGTAGTTAAGAGTTTCTTTTTATCAGCATTAACTTGTAGATTATCTGTAAATATCCAGGAGACCAGGTCAGAGTAGAATTACCACTCCAAGAAAGGAGACTGATACATGTCGGATACTTTCAGGAGTCACTAATGGTATAGCTTTCCTGAGAATTTTCTACCCTCTAAGTCTCTCAATATTCCTTTTTGAATGAATTATTAATGATTTTTCAATTCCAGGACTAACTACTGGAACACCAATTCATATCTTTGTACCAAATACCGATCAGAGAGGACATGTAAGTTGCTTAGTTTGTTTTGATAACATTTTTAAATAAGAAAGTTTCTTTTCTCTTTTATTTTTCTTGATTGACCATACCGATCCACGTACCGATAATCCTAATGATCATATTCAAAATAAACGCATGTGGGTTGAAACTGAATCTGCAGCCCGTGCATTCTTTTCACCCACATTGTCAATGATTTAGTGCATTAGAAGATTTGATCTTTTATGGTAAAAACAACAAATGTTCAGTCTTCCTTCATTTTTTTGTGACAACCCAAGCCCCCACTGCTAGCAGATATTGTCCTCTTTGGGATTCCCCTCAAGGTTTTTAAAATGTGTCTGCTAGGGAGAGATTTCTACACCCTTATAAAGAATGCTTTGTTCTCCTCCCCAACCAATTTGGGATCCCACAATCCACTCCCCTTCGAGACTCAGCGTCCTCGCTGGCGCTCATTCCGTTCTCCAATCGATGTGGGACACCCCAATCCACCCTCTTTAGGGCCCAACGTCCTGCACATTGTAAAAGTTTGAGGCGTGACATTTTTTGTTCTTTTGGTTTGAGAGTCTCACAATGCAAGTGTAAAGTGTAGTGCACATGATGGTTTTATGATGAATATAGTGTGTGGAATTTTTATATTCATGGTTCTCATTTATATTTAGCATAATCTCTGCATGTAATTGTT